CCTCCTCCCTCCTCCCTCCTGCCTCCTCCCTCCTCCCTCCTGTGGTGCTCTGCTGGTCTTGCACCAAGTCCCTACTGCCTGCCCACCTGCTTGTTAACTCACCTCAACACACAAGGGATAATCAAAAATATGAAACCGTTTCTTTGTTTCAAAACCATATTACCGTAAAAGACACGCTGCCGAGAATGATGGGTGCATTTGAAGCAAAGGGAGAATTTTGAGGGTGATTAGTGACACTGTAAAAAGTTTTTAATTTAAACTTTCGTCATATTTTGTGATCACCACCCCTGATCAGCCATTTGTGGCAATTTCTGTAAAATGAAAATATGATAGCACGTCCTCATTTGCCGTAGTGACGCACGCACGCACGCACGCACGCATGTGTGCTGAGCAGCTGTCAGCTCTTGCCCGAAGTCAAAATGCTGGGAAACTGAAACACTTCGCATTGGCTCAGGGCATCCAGGTAGCCCTGGAATCACAACGCACAGGCTCCTGGAGGGAGGACTCCCGGAGCTGCTGCAGAAAGCGGCAAGGACAGTGGGATCTGTGAGTGTGAAGTAAGGGTATGGGCATTCTGAGTGGGATTAATGGCAAGGTGCCCTTTACTATCATAATTTTACTTAATGTGAACATTTGCCATAATTTTTTAAACAACATTAAAACAATACAAGATTTCACTAAACATAAAAAAAAGAGGCCTGGGGAGATAGCTCAGTAGAATAAGCTCTTACCTGGCAAGCACAGGGTCCTGAGTTCAATCTCCAGTACAAAAAAAAAAAAAAAAAACAGCAAAATTTCACTAAACAAAGTCATAGGAATTCAACAATGGTTACTGTATTACATGATGTTGTCTTCAAGTTAGTGGTTCAGGTTACCGGATATAAAAGTGCAAGATTGGTTTAAAGAAAAAACAAAACAGTAACAAAAAAGTTGCAAGAAATTCAAAAGAAAAAATAAATTAATTAATTAATAAAGCACTGACTGCTCCTTTCAAAAGACCAGCAGAAAGCGGTAGCACCATCATCCAAACTTTCGTGCATATATTCACCATAATTTTTTAACATGCCTCGAAAGAGACTTCAGAGCGGTTACTCCGAGTGTGCTGCCTGTGGCTGCCCCATTATTTTATATCACTTTAGAGCACTTAAGATGGCATGGTATCATCCTATCTGTTGTTGCCTTTTTCCTGTGCTGCTGAGGGCAGTAGGGTCCCCAGCACTGACACAACGCCTCCAGGACACTGGATATCTCACCACAGATGACGGGTGATGGGGGCAGGTAGGTGACAGACCAGTCACGCCTATGCCCCAGACAATTTGCCTTTGGCAAATATCACAGAGCTATGATGCTGCTGCTAGTGGGATTCCACAAAAAGTCCTAGTCCCCTGGGTTCATAAGCAAAGATATAAGAAAAACCACACAAGCTACGTGACACACAACCCATATACCAAATCAGCGCATATGCATGAGAGACATATATAAAAATTCAATGAAGACAACAGGAGCTCTACTACAGCCACCTGGAGGTGACCCTGAACCGTGCAGAATACCCCTTCCAGCCTTTCCTAATCATCCATGTGTGCAGAAATGCAGACGCTGAGTGTAACAATGAGATTAAATTTATATATTCTGGGAACTTTGATTTTCATTTCCCATTTGGTTAACTATGATTTTTAAAGATTTCTTCATGTTACACCGTTTGAATGCATTTCATACCTAAGACTTCCAAGAGCACAGTAGCTTGTAAATGCTATGCACGCCTATGTGCTTTATTAAAATTGCAGAAGTGAATTTGCTGAGTCACAGGCTGTGGAGAATTCTAAGGCTTTTTCTTAGTGTTTTGCCGAATCATCCTCTGACGGCCTTACTCACTCGCCTTCCACCCAACCCCGAAGCTCGGCGCAGGTTCTTCCCGCACTCAGCACCACAGAGAGTAAACCCTGCTCAGATAATGGGCCACTTAATTTTCAGTGAAGTAAACATGACCACTTTTGCCTGCTGCCGCACCCGGGACACTAAGCAGGGCTTTGGAAATGGCATTGGTAGGTAACGGTGCAGCTTCCTTTTTTTATTTTTTAAAGAGAATACAAAACAGTAATAAAAAAAAAAAGAAAAGAAAAAAAAAAGAAAAAAAGAAAGAAAAAAAGAAAAGAAAGAAAGAAAAAGAAATGATACAGAATTTCATTAAAATAAGAGAAATTCAACATAACAGTAT